CGGTAAGACAACGAAAAATGATTGCAACTCATCTTAATTACATCACTCTCCGTTAATTCTAATTTTTTCAAAAAAATATACAACAGCACAATCTATCGCGTGACATAAATGAACAGAATTACTCACATTTTCTTCATCAGATTTCGGTACATAGCTAGTCGAGCTACTGTCACTTGACACTGGNGAAACAGAAAATGTCTATAAAATAATATACGCAATTATAATGCAAAAAAGTTAACTAACAAATTGATAAAATGACAGAAACTGATTTTGATATGAACCCGTCTACCAGGTCAAGTATCAATCACCTTATATTTTCCAAAAGTTTACCGATAAAAAAAAAGTTTACCTTTACAGACTCAAATTTTTTACACCACTCTTCTAAGTTTGTGGTCAGTCCTTTCTATGTCCCATGATGTTCAATGATGGATAAAGTGACGTATTTTAAAAAAAAACAACAAATATTATACATATCTGTTATTGTGCACAATAATCTGCTATGAAGTACAGTATTGTGATTAAAAAAAAAAAAAAAAAACAGTTTTGTCTGTGAAAATTATCTATCAAAACACTCTCGCTTCTCTCATCGCATATTATTTTAGAAATATATAAAACTCACCAATAACTTTCTCACTTTTCTTTTTTTACACGTATACCTGTGAACAATGAGGTCTTTCCGCGTTGTAAAGTTCATCTTGCAAATTCTACAGCGTTTCGACTTTAAAGAGACATAACAAACTTTACTTATGTACATTTCACAAAAGCTAATAAACAGTTAAAGCGATTCTGATCGATCTTGGCAGAACACATCTGGTACACCAGATCAAGTTTGAATCAACTTTTAATATTTTCGAAAAGCTTACCGCTTTGTCAGAGATATTAATAGTTCTAATGAGTTCTTCGACCTGAGGTATCTGTGATGAATAAAAAAATATGTATGTTNCAAGAAGAAGATAAAACATATTACTGTATTCTGCAAAATCCGACTAAGAAGTACGTAATGGAAAATAATTTTTGCAATGGAACTTCTCTATAAGAACAGTTTTTTCTTCGTAAAATAATTTTAAATTAAGCACGTACCAACGTTGCTGTGAGTTTCTTTATTTCGCACGTTTTTTCATGCATGGCAAATTCTTCTGCAGTCACTAAATTTGCACAACAGGCTTCGCAAATATATGAGTCCAAATGACATGGTTCCTACAAGTAATTAGATGAATTTTAAACGACAAAAAATGATCTTAGTAAAGAGACACTTCTATCGAATTAGGTTTCCATCGAGTTTTATTATTTTCGAAAACTTACCGATAGCGGCGGTTGTGTGTTTTTGTCGCACTTTTCAATATGAACATTGAGTTCTTGCTCCGTAGTAAAAGTCAGAGAACAATAGTTACACGAAAACATTGTTGAAGAAACAGGTAACAAAAGTACACAACCACACTGAGCGAAAGCTGG